GCGACACTGGGGCACCTCCACGAAATACAACGGCGCCCAAGGTCCGGTTTGTCCTTCCCGTGTCGGTAGAGTTGCGTAGTCTAACAGCTTCGTGACGATGACGCGCCACCAATCCATGGCGGGTCCTCGCAGCAACGACACGGTGTAGCGGATTTTGGCCGCATCCTCCGAGACGTAGTTGGCATAAAAAAACACGTTCATCGTGAACAACCAGGCTTGAACGGTAGGACCACCCCGTTGGCTGAGATCAAAGCATGGCGGGCGCTGCGGCTTCAGCGGCATCAGTGACGGCAGTGCCGAACCGTCGGTTGGTGCCGAAATTATGACGCGTGGCTGGCTTCGGGCCGCATTCGTCGCTTCGGGGTGTGTCGTGCCGTGGTCGTCGTCTCCGTCGAGGCGGACGACGCCATCACTGGCCGCGCTCGCGGGTTGCCCCACGCTTCCGTGTTGTGATGCCTGTGGTGCGGGCTGTTCCGGAGTGCCAGGCGCTTAAGATTGTGCTTGTTGTGCTATGTTGAACTATATTTATATATGTTCTTTATAATTGTCTGCAGTGTAGGTGGTGCACCATGCTTCTCCTTGTTATATTTTGTACCCATCTTTCTTAGTGAAGTCACTTATTCCTGCTTCAACTCTCTCGACACCTCCTTCAACCCTAAAACCTAAGCTACTAAGTTACTCTAGCCATGGACTCTAAGCCCAACTAGCTTAGTATCTTGACATGCTCGTGTGAGGTCATTTTGCAGGGACGAGCGTTTTTCCGTCAGCATCGCGATTTCCTCGGCGCTCTCGCGAATTTGCCACAGCAGATCGTTCAAGTGCTCCTGCGTGAGCGTCGTGATATCAATGTGCTCGGCCATTTTGAAGGGTGTCGGCTCGTCTTAGTCTAGGCGCAGTCGTGGCTGCACGCATTTACGAGAGAACGCGAGGACAGCGGCTCCTAGGTGCTAAGGTGCGTGAGTCCCTTCGAAACGAAAAAACAAAAGTGGATTTCCTGGGGTGCGGAGATGCGCCGTCCGAAAGAAGGGGCTCTGAATACCAAGTGTTACGGGTGCAATGAATTGAAGTTGCGAGAATTGCACTAAGGTGTCAAAACGAGTACAAAGATGTGAGCGAAGGCATGAGCGAACATTTATACGCGAAACATGCAAACCGTAACACAGTGCGTGCGAGCTAGCTAGTGCTACGCTGGCAGCGAGGCTCGGGCTAGTCCCGAAGCATAGGCCGACACGGCCGGGCTAGCAGTGCGAGGTTTAGCAAAACACTACGCGCGAAGTTGGCGAAGTCCCGTTAGCAGTAACGGGCAAATAATGACTGTTGCTGTACGTGATGTAGTCGGGCTCTGTAAGCAATGCCGAGAAAATTCCTTACATCTACGTATACATTACAAAGAGAATAACGCCTGTCTAAATAAAAAATATAATAGGCTTGCCCCTACAAAAACCCTCACATCACGTAATTGCAAATACAACACCTTTGAAAACAAGTGATGGAGTGAAGACGCCATAGCTAGGAAAGACCTAGCTAGGCAAGAATAGTTTAGGCAAAAGAGGAGGGATCACTAGCAGCAATGAGGATACAAATAGCTAGCCCTAGAAAGGTTGTACTCGCTATAGAGCACCCCACTACAGACTAGAGAACAATAACATTCTGACACACCCCCATAGCCAAAGTGAGGTGTAATCAGCAGAGCAAGCAAAGCAGAATAAGCTCAGGGTGGATCACAATCTCACCACACATTTTGAGCACAAGTTCAAGAAGAAATAGTTTAAAGTTCACAATTATGAGCAAAGCTAGAGGCTATCGCACAGGGCAAGTGAGGAGGAGGAGGCAAGACCGTAAGAGGAGAGGAGATAGGAGGCGACAACTGAAGCTGCAGATACACGGCAACAGGAGGCACACTGGCACAGGACTCCGGACTACTGGAGTAACTGGCCCCGCGGCTAAAAGTAGCGGCAGACGAGCAACGGACCCACGGGCGACTGGCACAGGTGGCTACGACTGGGCTACCAAAGCAACTCCCCGGACTACAGGTGCTACTGGCGACACGACGGCAACCTCCGGTCAACCTCCCCAAACAGCCCCACCCCCCTTGACACACACCCGCTGCTTCACCCCTAGCTCCACTCCCCCTTCACCCCCCTTAGTACCACTCCGACGGCTCCAACAGGTCCACCTCCCCTCACCGGCAGCTGCAGCACAGGGAGACGGAGGAGGAGGAGGAGGAGCAGGGAACAGCACACAGTGGCTTCACCCCCATACCCCTCACCCCCAAACCCTAATTCAGGAGAACGGGCTGTAGGAGGGGTGGGGCGCCAGTAGAAGCACGGGGGACACCAAGAAGGGCAGGGGCAGCGAGGAAAGGGCCGCCCACGGGCCTAGCACAGCCGCCCGAACCGCGCGCACGCGGCCCGAGCCGCGCGTGGGCCTGGCGCAGCCCGTACGGGTCGCGCGCGGGCCTGGCGCAGCCCGTACGGGCCGCGCGCAGACCACGACGGGCGACGGGGGGCAACGCGGAGGCCCCCCGTCGCCCGTCGCAGCGCCTCCCGGGAGCGGCGCGCGGCGTGACGGGGCAGTAACCCGCTGCAAGCCTCGGGGCGCACGGCGGGAAGAGAACCGCCGCGCGCATCGGGGCGCACGACGGAAAGGGAGAGTAGCAGTTGCAGCGGAAGGAGTGTGGTAGGGCCCACAGGCCAGGAGCTTACTGCTTTGATACCATGTGAAATCAAATGATGGAGTGAAGACGCCATAGCTAGGAAAGATCTAGCTAGGCAAGAATAGTTTAGGCAAAAGAGGAGGGATCACTAGCAGCAATGAGGATACAAATAGCAAACCCTAGAAGGGTTGTATTTGCTATAGAGCACCCCACTACAGGCTAGAGAACAATAACATTTTGACAACACCTAGAGAGGGAAAGCAGCTTCTACAAATGAACAACTATCTCGTAAAGATTCAACAGTCTTAATTACGAACACTAAAGAACAAAATGAGAGACCACCATGAAATGGAACCATAAACAACAAAAATGAGATTGATACATTTTAATGTTAACTACTAAATAAAACATAACTAAAACCATTGCATACCGGTTCAAGCACACACCAAAAAAATAGTCCACAAACTCAAAATAAAAGTAATACATGACGTAATAATTGAATAATAACGTGTACAAAGAATAAATTTCGCAATTACAGATTGTGACAGAACATGCCTCGATATTCGCGAGATAAATCCAAAAGGAAAAAGTGACGTGTCTACCAAAGTCACCCGAAACAGGGCTTCAGGCTGAAGCTCCCAGCGGAATCCGGTCGACGGATCCGAAATGCCGGGGTCGACGATGGGGGTCGTCGGAGAGGGGTCTGACAAGGCAGGCAACTGACGCGCATGCAGGTCCGCCAGCCTAGCCCACGGCTGGGCCGAGCGCACGACCGCCGCCCCGCAACCCCTCCCTGAAAGTGAACAGCGTCCCACGTTACCAGGTGGGGTCGGCGAAGTGGCGACCCACCTGAGCGAGGGGGAGTTACCCTCGCGCGAAGGCAGCCCTCCCGTCCCCGCTGCCCGCGGAGTCCTAGTGACCCTCGCGATCTGACCGCACGAGCAGGTGAGGGCCACGCAAAATTTGGGTGCTCCCCTCAGGACGCTCGACAATTTCGTGACCCGTTGGGGTGACGCCACGTGCTCGCCCGTCATTTCGCATTGTATGCATGCGAGATTTCATACCCACCGAAAATCGGGCGAAAATTGGGTCGCTCGCACCGGGCCGCACGGTTTTTGCGACCCGCTACAAAATCGACACGTGGTGCCAAAACGTCGCACTGCGCGCATGCGAACTTGAGTCCCTTGGCGCACTGATGCCAGGGGACGTGACGTCGACTTGTTGGCTCGGCGACGAGGGTGCATTTGAGCGTCGTCCAGAGGGTCGTGGTGCCTGGCTCGGCAGGGCTCGGCAGTAGCATCCTCTCTCTCCTGCCATGGCGTCAGACCGCAAAGCCGCCGAAGTGGTGCCGACCTCGCGCGACTTTCCCGTGTATCTAAACGTCGGTAGAGGACTTACATCCAAGTTTGAGGAACACAACTACGCCGTTCTGACATACCCTATGCTAGAGTTTAACGCCCGTTGCTTAGGAATCGGCCTCAAGTGAGTGTCTTATGGGGAGATCGGCGTTGTGAAGTTTATTTCATGCTGGTCGAGCCCTAGCGGGGATTCAAGCGACCTGTCGTTTAGGTCGACGGACTCATGGTGTAGGGTTCAGGGAAGTCGATCACATCGGTGTCGCTGACGTTAGGTGTTTGGTCAGCGTCGGCGCTGCGTTGTGCCATAGTCATTCGGCTCCCGCGGATTCACCGCTCCGTCGTGCTATTGCCACAACAGTTGTATCCGCCGTCGTCCCGAGCACCTACTCACGCACTCCTCCTAACCATGCATGCGTGCAGGCATGCTTGGTTGCGTGGAACGGATGAAAACGAGCGGCTGTGGTCGATAGGAGTCGGCCGTCTTCGGGCGGCGATGGGTCAGGGCAACCACACATGCTTTGCAACGGTTTTGACGCCGACGTGGCGGTTATCCCACTGACATCGTGGTAAGCTGGTTCGGGATTGTCCCGCTTGTGCTGCAGCCTGTGTCGGTGATCTTAAATGAGCTATGTCGTCGTGCCTTGTCTGTGTAGCATTGCACCGCTTCCAGGATCACATTGCAGCGTCGTTGTCATCCTGTGCCCCGGCGAATTGTTTAAGGCATCGGGCCAGAAGATCAGGACCTCGATCCAGCATGCTGACCCGCAGACGGTGAAGGAGTGGCATGTCAAAGAGGCGAAACGCGTGCTGGAGTAAGCTCAACAGTTTAGTCGACGCCGCTTGCGTAGTCAACATGCGGAACATGCACCATGCCAACTGACCGTCTGTGCCATGCTTATGCAGGTTTTTCTGAGCGGGTGTTATGGCCGAGCTTCGCCGCGAAGATAGGAAATGGGAGTGGGCGAAGTCGTCTGAGGAGGAGGTGCATGCGAGGCTCGCCGACTGCGACGCACCCCTTCGAGATGTGAGTTTCCGACATTCTTGTTAATATATGGTGTCACATTATTGCGCGATGCAATCGCCGATCCGTTCTTGCGCGACGCGACTGCCGATCGCGGTGCTGATTTTTGCGCTCGCCTCTGTTGTATGCAGAAAGTGCCCGACACCGTTCGGGACGAGGACGCGGGCTCCGACCTGCTAGCAATGAGCGCGTTGCTCTGAGTTGTGAGGTGGTTTGATCTCCTGACCGGCTCCCTCCGTCGTAGAATCATCAGCATGGACAAGGTGTATGTTACGGGGATGAAGGTGCTGCGGACTGAGATGGTAACCTTCATCAAGAATCAAGTCGCGCTCATACGGTCCGGCCGATGCGTAGTTGCGGCCGACGCCTGTGACGACAACGACGTGGAGGTTCCTTCGGCATCTCAAGCAGTAGGTGCCGCCCCCACCGTCGCTTATGCGTGTGGCACGTCGATCCGAAAGCCGGGAGGCGGCGTCAACAAGGACGAAGCGGCGGCAAGAAAGGGGGTGACCGGGACCAATGAGAGGCAGCAGGACGCGGTTGGCCATGAGGATGATGATCGGGTCCATGATCTTGAGGAGGAAGGGGGCTCGGAGGAGTCGACGTCGGAGTCGGAGTCGGGGTCGGAGGAGGAGCAAAAGGCTCAGGATCAGGAGGAGCAGCAGGGGAAGCAGCACGAGGAGAAGCAAGAGGTGGAGATGAAGGACGTGAAAATGGAGGATTACGGGGCTGAAGGAGTGGCGAAAATGGGAGAGAGATTGGCGAAGGTCGAGCACGAGAAGGGGGGGGGGAAGGGTGCGTCAGCGGAGCTCGGAATGGAGAAAGTTGTCGGCGTGGAGGCAGCTCACGGGGGGAGTGGGATGGTCGTGGTCGGCGATGGGATGGATGTTGTCGGCCACAAGGCCGTTGGACATGGGGATATCGCCGCGGCCACGAAGTAGACGGGCGTGGAAGTGCCTACCGATGCCACCGCAAAGAAGGCCGAGGGGGAGCGGTCTAGGAAGAAGAAGTCGGCAAGCGGTCATCCCGGTTCCACCGCAGCTGGGCGGCAGGCGCGGCTGGACGTCGTCGAGCAGCTGAGAGTGGAAAACAGGCGATTGCGTGCGGACAATGCACGCCTTGAACGGCAGCTCGGTGAGGAGACGGGGTGGGTCGACGATTTGGCGGCGGCCGTAGCTGGGCTCCTCGACAAGCTGGACGACCACAATCACTGACGACCTCACCGACAACATGGACAACGCAATTCAATCGGGCAAATCATTTGCCGAGCTAGCGAGGCAGATGCTGCTGGATCTTGACGACCCCAACGGACGAATGGCGGTCGCGCTCGCGATCGCGGTGGACACTTTGGTCGAGCACGTGACGGCTGAGATGGGTGAGGCGAGGAAGGGCTTGGAGGAGACAGTCATTAAATACATTGACGCTGCTCAGACCAGCATTTCCACTCCCGTCTCTCCCCGCTTCGTCGTTCAGCAGTCGCCGCCAACCGCCCCAGCGCAGGCCTTGTTGGCCGAGTTCCTGAATTCCTTCAAGGAGGATGTGCTGAAGGTGGTGACGGAGACCACGCAGCAGTCCCTTCTCACCTCCGGATTGAAGATAATGACAGAGATGGACGGCACGGTGGCGACTGCTCGGTGTGGGTCGTCACCGTCGGCAAACGACACTGACCAAGCGCAACCTATGGAGGCCAAGAAGCAGGGTCAGAAAAGGGGGGGAGGCGGTGGGGGGGCGGGGGGACAGAGACGATTCGGCGAACGTGAAGCGGAGCAAGGGAGCTGGGAGATCTCGTGTCGCCGGCGACGGGAGCAAGGGGGCCGGAGAAGGAGCAGCTACTGCAGGGGCCAGGGGCGGGTGCTGCTAGGGCGGCTACTCCAGGGGCTGCTACTGCTGGGGCGGCTGCTCCAGGGGCTGCTCCTGCTGGGGCAGCTGCTTCAGGGGCTGCTGCTGCTGCTAGGGCGGCTACTCCAGGGGATGCTGCAGGGGCGGCTGCTCCAGGGGCTGCTGCTGCTGGGGCGGCTGCTCTAGGGGCTGCCGCTGATGGGGCTGCTCCTGCTCGGGCGGCTGTTGCTGGGGCGGCTGCTCAAGGGGCTGCTGCTGCTACGGCGGCTGCTCCAAGGGCTGCTGCTGCTGGGGCGGCTGCTCCAGGGGCTGCTGCTGCTGAGGCGGCTGCTCCAGGGGCTGCTGCTGCTGCTGGGGCTGCTGCTCCAGGGGTTGCTTCTGTTGGGGCAGCTGCTCCTGGTGCTGCTGCTGCTTGGGCGGCTGCTCCAGGGGCTGCTGCTGCTGGGGCGGCTGCTCCAGGGGCTGCTGCTGCTGGGGCGGCTGCTGCTGGGGCGGTTGCTATAGGGGCTACTGCTGCTGGGGCGGCTGCTATAGGGGCTACTGCTGCTGGGGCGGCTGCTCCAGGGGCTGCTGCTACTGGGGCAGCTGCTGCTGTTGGGGCGGCTCTTCCAGGGGCTGCTGCTGCTGAGGCGGCTGCTCCAGGTGCTGCTGCTGCTGGGGCGGCTGCTCCAGGGGCGGCTGCTGCTCGGGCGGCTGCTCTAGGGGCTGCTGCTCTAGGGGCTGCTGCTGCTGGGGCGGCTGCTCTAGGGGCTGCTGCTACTGGGGCAGCTGCTTCACGGGCTACTACTGCTGGGGCGGCTGCTCGAGGGGCTGCTGCTACTAGGGCGGCTTCTCCAGGGGCTGCTGCTGCTGGGGCGGCTACTCCTGGGGCTGCTGCTGCTGGGACGGCTGCTCCAGGGGCTGCTGCTGCTGGGGCGGCTGCTCCAGGGGTTGCTTCTGCTGGGGCGGCTGCTCCAGGTGCTGCTGCTGCTGGGGCGGCTGCTCCAAGGGCGGGTGCTGCTCGGGCGGCTGCTCCAAGGGCTGCTGCTGCTGGGGCGGTTGCTCCAGGGGCTGCTGCTACTGGGGCGGCTGCTCTAGGGGCTGCTGCTGCTAGGGCGGCTGCTCCAGGGGCTGCTGCTGCTGGGGCGGATGCTCGAGGGGCTGTTGCTGCTGGGGCGGCTACTCCAGGTGCTGCTGCTGCTGGGGCGGCTGCTCCTGGGGCTGCTGCTGCTGGGGCGGCTGCTCGAGGGGCTGCTGCTGCTGGGGCGGCTGCTGTAGGGGCTGCTTCTGCTGAGGCGGCTGCTCAAGGGGTTGCTGCTGCTGTGGCGGCTGCTCAAGGGGCTGCTGCTGCAGCGGAAATTAGGAGGGAGGGGAGGGGAAGGGCGCGGCCCCCAGGGTGCCCTAACGGGCGACGTGCTAGGGAGCCGCGTAGGCCCCCAAAAGTGCCTCAACGGGCGATGGGAGGGGACCGTGCGCAGGCCCCTAAGGCACCGTGACGAGGCAACGGGTGGGGCCTGCGTGTGGGCCCCCAAAACGCTGCGACGAGGGGACGGTTGGGGCCAGTGCGCGGGCCCCCAAGACGCGGCGACAAGGTAGGAACCTGCCGCGCGCCTCGGGGCGTGCCTAAGTGGAGTTCTGGAGGTTGGATGTGACTTTCACTAAGGGGAAACTCTGCCGAAATTTCGTTGGCGCCGACACTTGTGGAAATTGTATGGGACTTTGGTGTGGACAGCAAAGGGGGAGCTAGAGCCTATGATTGGGAGCAGAGGAGATGAGTTAAGGGAGTGGAGAAGCAGCTGAGAAGAGGAGTGAGCCACCACCATCCAAGATTGAGGCGTTGGATGGCTCCAACTACGAGGAATAGAGCGGGCGCATGCAGAGTGCCTTCAAGCTCTATGAGCTGCTGAAACTCGCGATGGGAGAAGAGAAGATGCCGGAGGAAGGAGATGCCCGCAATCGATGGATTGAGAAAAGCGCAGTGCTGTATGACTTGATTCTACAGTCGGTCAACAACAACGTGTTCCAGCACATCAAGGATTTGGTGGAGCTCGATGACTCGGGACCAAAGGCGTGGAAGCTGCTACGCGATGTGGTTCAGCCCAACATGCTGCCGATGGTGATCGTATTGGAGAAGAATCTGGCTGCTCTCTCCATGCGGCTGGGAGACGATGTGAAGCCGGTGATTGACAAGGTCAAGGACACCTATGCGAGGATGGCAGCGGCGGGCAGCAAGGTGTTGGAGATGCAGCAGTGCACCGATATCATCTCGGTGCTCGACAACTCGTGGGACAACCTTATCCCCACCCTCAACGTTCAGCAGGACAAGTGGACGCCTGAGTGGCTACGGCAGCAGATCCTGCATGAGGACTTCCGCAGGCGCCACACGGGAGATGGTGCTGCCAACAAAATTGCTGAGGGGTATGGAGCTGCAGGAGGCAGCAGAGGACGAGGGGGTGGGAGAGGCTGAGGCCGTGGGAGAGGCTTTGGCAGAGGGAGAGGCCGAGGTGACTACAATGAGGGGCATGGGAGCTCTGGTGGCAGGGGGAGCACCCGAATGGAGGGAGCGTGCTGGTACTGCAAGAAGGCTGGACACCCATGGTTCAAGTGTTTCAGCCGGCCTGAGGGATGGGCGCCCCCAGGCATGAAGCCACCAAGTGGTGAACGTGCACGAGGTGGCACTGTGCAAGGTTCAGGTGCATAAGGTGATGGTGCACAAGGTAAAGCCGACCCTGGGATGTTCCTCATGGTTGAGGATGTGCAAGGGAGTGGGGGTGATGTGGGTTTAGTTGGGAAGGTTGTGATGCACCCCCTCACCCACTGGATGATAGATTCAGGTTGCACAAGTCACATGACCCTACAGGCAGATTTGCTTGACGAGGTAAAACCCCCTGGGAAGATCAAATTTGTGGCTGCCGCTTTAGGTACTTTGCTCCGTGTGGTTGGTGTTGGGAATGCGAAGGTCATGGGAGCCAATGGGGGGCTTGTGGGGCTGGGGAATGTGCTGTTGTTTGAAGGTTTATCCGCTAACCTCCTCTCTGTGTGCCGGCTGCAGAAAAGCAAGGCCAAAGTTACCTTCGCCCCAACTAGCTGCCGTGCAAAGCTTGGGAAGTTGCTGCTGTGGGATTTGGAGGAGAAGAGCAGCTGCATCAAGGACCTATGGCAGCTGCCCATCATCCCTTGGAATGGGAAACCACCAGCAACGGCAGCGGCTGTAGCAACGGCTAAGGCATCTGCAGGGGGAGAGGAGACTGCACCAACTACTGGGGCCCTGGATGCAGTCAAAAAGGTGCAGCAGTCATAGCAGCTACATGGTGAGGTGCTTGCTGGTGTAGATGGGAGTGCAGCATGGGCAAAGGCTTTATCTGGGAGTGGTGAGGCTGATTGGGACTGGCACGAGAGGTTGTGTCACATCAACATCCCTATGCTGCAGAAGTTAGTGAAGGATGGGTGCTTGAAGGGGCTGGAGGTGAAGGGAGCAGCAAAGGAGATTGGGAGCTGTCCTACATGCCTTGAGACCAAGTTCACAAAATTTCCCTTCAGCAACAGCACAAGACCAGCCAAGGCTCACTTGCACTAGTGCACATGGATGTGGTGGGCCCGACGAGGGCCCTTTCTCTCTCGGGCAGCCGCTACTTCTTGACGATAGTGGACGACCACACGCGTCCGGTGTGGGTGTACCCTCTCAAGACCAAGGGGGAGGTGGCAGCGGCTGTTCTCAAGGAGTGGATACCGAGAGTTCAAAGGGAGAGTGGACATAAGGTGAAGGTGATTCGCACTGACAACGGGGGAGAATTCATTAGCGTTGATTTTGAGGTGGTGCTGAAGAAGAAGGGGATCCAACATCAGCTCACGGTGCCCTACAACCCTCAGCAAAACAGCGTGGCTGAGCGGTTCAACCGGACCCTGCAAGAAGGTGCTCACACTCTCCTTGGGCGTGCCGGGCTGCCGGATCTGTTTTGGGTGACTGCACTGCGGCAGGTCGCCCTTGTGAAGAACCGGGTGCTGGCGACTGTGGGGGACAAGCAATGGGTCCCCTACACCAAGTGGTATAGGAGTGCACCAGCAGTCAACATGCTGAGAGCCTTTGGGTGCATGGTGGTGTTTCATGTGCCTAAGGAGAAGA